TCCAAATCCACCCAAAATCCATCCAAATCCATCAAAATCCACCCAAAATCCACCCAAATCCACCCAAAATCCCCACAAATCCACCCCAAATCCACCCAAAATCCCCCAAATTCCACCCAAAAATCCTGGGAAAATCCAAGAAAATCCCAGGAAAATCCACAATTCCCTCTGGATCCGCAGAATTCCCAGTTTTTTCCCCCAAATTCCCGGCGGTTTCCCATCATTCCCCACCCCCATTCCCCGGGGATTTGGGGACCGGATTCCCGGCTTTCCCAGCCCCAATTCCCAGAGAATTCCCTGGATTTCTCCCTGGAATTTTTGGGGATCCCGGTGCCGGATTCCCGGCTTTCCCAGCCCCAATTCCCCCGGAATTCCCTGGATTTCTCCCTGGAATTTCTGGGGATCCCGGTGCCGGATTCCCGGCTTTCCCAGCCCCAATTCCCCCGGAATTCCCTGGATTTCTCCCGGATTTCCCGCAGACCACGGGCTGGACCTGGCCGAGAAGGATTTCACCGTCAACGCCGTGGCCGGAGCCATGAAAAGTTTCTTCTCGGAGCTCCCGGAGCCGCTGGTGCCGTACTCGATGCAGCTGGAGCTGGTGGAGGCCCACAGTGAGTCCGGAATTCCCAAAATTCCCGGAATTCCCAAAATTCCCGGCGCTCATCCGGGCACTCGATGGTGGAGGCCCGCAGCGAGTCCGGAATTCCCGGAATTCCCGCCGGAATTCCGTGTTTTTCCCGTGGTTAATTCAGGGCTTTGATCGGTGCCCAGGATTCCTCAGGGGTTCCTCCTTAATTCCTCATTAATTTCTTGTTAATTTGGCATTAATTCCCAAACCACTCCCGTTTTTCCCCCCCGAAATTCCCGTTTTTCCCATTCCAAACCCCAAATTTCCCGTTTTTTTCCCGTTTTTTCCCGTTTTTCCCCGTTTTTCCCCCCGAAATTCCCATTTTTCCCCATTCCAAACCCCAAATTTCCCGTTTTTTCCTGTTTTTCACCCAAAATTCCCATTTTTCCCATTCCAAACCCCGAATTTCCCGTTTTTTCCCGTTTTTTCCCGTTTTTCCCCTTTTTTTCCCCCCGAAATTCCCATTTTTCCCATTCCAAACCCCAAATTTCCCTTTTTTCCCCTTTTTTTCCCGTTTTTCCCCCTGAAATTCCCATTTTTCCCATTCCAAACCCCAAATTTCCCTTTTTTCCCCTTTTTTTCCCCTTTTTCCCCCCGAAATTCCCATTTTTCCCATTCCAAACCCCAAATTTCCCGTTTTTTCCCGTTTTTTCCCGTTTTTCCCCCCGAAATTCCCATTTTCCCCCATTCCAAACCCCGAATTTCCCTTTTCCCCGTTTTTTCCCGTTTTTCACCCAAAATTCCCATTTTTCCCATTCCAAACCCCAAATTTCCCTTTTTTCCCCTTTTTTTCCCATTTTTCATCCCGAATTTTCCCATTTTTCCCATTCCAAACCCCAAATTTCCCTTTTTTCCCCTTTTTTCCCGTTTTCCCCCCGAAATTCCCATTTTTCCCATTCCAAACCCCAAATTTCCCTTTTTTCCCCTTTTTTTCCCATTTTTCATCCCGAATTTTCCCATTTTTCCCATTCCAAACCCCAAATTTCCCTTTTTTCCCGTTTTTTCCCGTTTTTCCCCCTGAAATTCCCATTTTCCCCATTCCAAACCCCGAATTTCCCGTTTTTTTCCCGTTTTTCCCCGTTTTTCCCCCCGAAATTCCCATTTTTCCCCATTCCAAACCCCGAATTTCCCGTTTTTTCCCGTTTTTTCCCGTTTTTCACCCGGAATTCCCGCTGTTTCCCCCATTCCCAGAGATCAACGACCGGGAGCAGAAGCTCCACGCGCTCCGGGACGTCCTGAGGAAATTCCCCCGGGAAAACTACGAGGTCTTCAAATACGTCATCGCGCACCTCAACAGGTGAGGATTCCCAAAATCCCGGAATTCCGGGGAATTTTGGGGAATTTTGGGGAATTTTGGGGAATTTTGGGGAATTTTCTGCAATTTTGGGGGAGTTTTTTAGCGATTATTTTGCGATTTTTGGGATTATTTTGGATTTTTCTCGGAATTCCCGGAGGATTTTCAGGGAATTCTTTCAGGAGAGTTCGGGGAGATTTTTCCAGGGTTTTTTTGGGTCATTTTGGGTCATTTTTGGGTCATTTCTGATGGGAATTTTTGCAGTTTTGGGGTTTTTCGGGATCTGCTGACCCCTGAGTGGTCACTCTGTCCGTGTCCACCCCAGGGTCAGCCTGATGGTCAGTGAGAACCTGTCCTGGGGGGTTTCAGGGTCATTTTGGGTCATTTTGGGTCATTTTGGGTCATTTTTGGGTCATTTCTGATGGGAATTTTTGCCGTTTTGGGGTTTTTTTTGATGTTTTTTGGGATCTGCTGACCCCTGAGTGGTCACTCTGTCCGTGTCCACCCCAGGGTCAGCCTGATGGTCAGTGAGAACCTGTCCTGAGGGGTCTCTGGGTCATTTTGGGTCATTTTGGGTCATTTTGGGTCATTTTTGGGTCATTTCTGATGGGAATTTTTGCAGTTTTGGGGTTTTTTGGGATCTGCTGACCCCTGAGTGGTCACTCCGTCCGTGTCCATGCCAGGGTCAGCCTGATGGTCAGTGAGAACCTGTCCTGAGGGGTTTCAGGGTCATTTTTGGGTCATTTTGGGTCATTTTGGGTCATTTTTGGGTCATTTCTGATGGGAATTTTTGCAGTTTTGGGGTTTTTTGGGATCTGCTGACCCCTGAGTGGTCACTCCGTCCGTGTCCACCCCAGGGTCAGCCAGCAGCACCCTGTGAGCCTGATGGTCAGTGAGAACCTGTCCTGGGGGGTTTCAGGGTCATTTTGGGTCATTTTGGGTCATTTTGGGTCATTTTTGGGTCATTTCTGATGGGAATTTTTGCCGTTTTGGGGTTTTTTTTGATGTTTTTTGGGATCTGCTGACCCCTGAGTGGTCACTCTGTCCGTGTCCACCCCAGGGTCAGCCTGATGGTCAGTGAGAACCTGTCCTGAGGGGTCTCTGGGTCATTTTGGGTCATTTTGGGTCATTTTGGGTCATTTTTGGGTCATTTCTGATGGGAATTTTTGCAGTTTTGGGGTTTTTTGGGATCTGCTGACCCCTGAGTGGTCACTCCGTCCGTGTCCACCCCAGGGTCAGCCTGATGGTCAGTGAGAACCTGTCCTGAGGGGTCTCTGGGTCATTTTGGGTCATTTTGGGTCATTTTGGGTCATTTTTGGGTCATTTCTGATGGGAATTTTTGCAGTTTTGGGGTTTTTTGGGATCTGCTGACCCCTGAGTGGTCACTCCGTCCGTGTCCACGCCAGGGTCAGCCTGATGGTCAGTGAGAACCTGTCCTGAGGGGTCTCTGGGTCATTTTGGGTCATTTTTGGGTCATTTCTGATGGGAATTTTTGCAGTTTTGGGGTTTTTTGGGATCTGCTGACCCCTGAGTGGTCACTCCGTCCGTGTCCACGCCAGGGTCAGCCAGCAGCACCGCGTCAACCTGATGACCAGCGAGAACCTGTCCATCTGCTTCTGGCCCACGCTGATGCGGCCGGACTTCAGCACGATGGATGCGCTGACGGCCACCAGGACCTACCAGACAATCATCGAACTCTTCATCCACCAGTGCCCCTTCTTCTTCCCGCTGCGGCCGCCCCCGGACACGCCCGGCTCGCCCGGCCCCGCCCCGGCCACGCCCTTCCCGCCCTCCCCCCCCCGGACGCCGTCGCCGGAGCCGCCGGAGCCCTGAGCGGGCGGGGGAGGGGCGGTGACCGCCGGGAACGTCCGGCCGGAGCCGGGGGACGCGGGGGGAGGGGCTCGGACGCTGCCGGGGGAGGAACCCCCAGACTTTGGCCAGGGCCCGATGGACGCCCCCGGGGGAGGGGCCGGAGAGGGGCGGAGAGGGGTGAGGCGTGGCCAGGTGGCCTGAGGGTCACCAAAAGTGGCCTGAGGGTCATCAGAGGTGGCCTGAGGGTCATCCAGCATGGTCCAGGGTGTCCTGAGGGTCACCAAAAGTGGCCTGAGGGTCATCAGAGGTGGCCTGAGGGTCATCCAACGTGGTCTAGAGTGGCCTGAGGGTCACCAAAAGTGGCCTGAGGGTCATCAGAGGTGGCCTGAGGGTCATCCAACGTGGTCCAGAGTGGCCTGAGGGTCATCCAACATGGTCCAGGTGTCCTGAGGGTCATCAAAGGTGGCCTGAGGGTCACTCCAGCGTGGTCCAGACTGGCCTGAGGGTCATTCAAGGTGGCCCAAGGGTCATCCAGAATGGTCCATAGTGGCCCAAGGGTCACTCCAGGTGGTCCAGGGTGGCCTGAGGGTCACTCAAGGTGGCCCAAGAGTCGTCCAGTGTTGACTGAGGTCCATCCGTCGTCGTCCCGTGTAGCCCAAGGTTCAGCCGGTGGGGTCCAGGGTGGCCGAGGGTCACTCGGGGTGGCCGAGGGACATCTGAGGTGGCCGAGGGACATCTGAGGTGGTCCAGAGTGACCTGAGGGACATCTGGGGTGGCCTGAGGGTCATTTGACGTGGTCCAGAGTGGCCTGAGGGTCATCCAGAGTGGCCCAAGGTCCATTCCAGGTGGCCCAAGGTCCATCCAACGTCATCCAAGGCTCATCCATCCACGGCTGAGGTCCATCCCAGGAGATCCGAGGTGGCCCAAGGTCCATTTGAGGTGGCCCAAGGTCCATTTGAGGTGGCCCAAGGTCCATCCGAGGTGGCCCAAGGTCCATTTGAGGTGGCCCAAGGTCCATCCGAGGTGGCCCAAGGTCCATTTGAGGTGGCCCAAGGTCCATTTGAGGTGGCCCAAGATCCTTCCCAGGAGATCTGAGGTTGCCCAAGGTCCATTTGAGGTGGCCCAAGGTCCATCCGAGGTGGCCCAAGGTCCATTTGAGGTGGCCCAAGGTCCTTCCCAGGAGATCTGAGGTTGCCCAAGGCCCGTCCAAGGTGGCCCAGAGTCCACCCGAGGTTGCCCAAGGCCCTTCTGAGGTTGCCCAAGGCCCTTCTGAGGTTGCCCAAGGCCCACCCGAGGTTGCCCAAGGCCCACCCGAGGTTGCCCAAGGCCCACCCGAGGTTCCCGCGGCTCCTCGAGCCCCAAATCCCGGGATTCCACCCCAAAGCACTTCCGGGCGGGGGGGGAGGAGCCTCAGACGCCCCTCCCCCACCCCAGGGGGGCCGATTTGGGGCGAATTCCCGGGAATTCGGGGTGGGGGTGGGGGAGGGGCCGGAGCCCGGGATTTTGGGGAGGTTTTGGGGGGATTTGGGGGGTCCCGGAGCCCCTCCCAGCGCCGAACTGGGCGGAACTGGAGTTTGACGGTACCACCGGGACCCGCCGGGTCTCTGCGCACTTTACGACGCCCCCGAGCACCAAAATCCCAAAAAAAAGAAAAAATAAAGGAAAAAAAAAAAGGCTCCAATTCCCAAATTTCCCAACCCGGAAAATTCCGGGGGAATTTAAAAAGAAAGAAAAGCTGAAAAAACGGGAAAATGTTAAAAAATTGGGGTTTTTCCTTAAAAAATTGGGGTTTTTTTCCTTAAAAAATTGGGATTTTTCCCTTAAAAAATTGGGATTTTTCCTTAAAAAATTGGGTTTTTTTCCTTAAAAAATTGGGATTTTTCCCTTAAAAAATTGGGGTTTTTTTCCTTAAAAAATTGGGATTTTTCCTTAAAAAATTGGGATTTTTCCTTAAAAAATTGGGGGTTTTTTCCTTAAAAAATTGGGGGTTTTTTCCTTAAAAAATTGGGATTTTTCCTTAAAAAATTGGGGTTTTTTTCCTTAAAAAATTGGGGTTTTTTTCCGTAAAATTTGGGGGTTTTTCCTTAAAAAAATTGGATTTTTTTCCTTAAAAAAATTGGGCTTTTTCCATTAAAAAATTTGGATTTTTCCTTAAATAATTGGGGTTTTTCCTTAAAACATCGGGCTTTTTTCCATAAAAAAATTGGGAGTTTTCCATTAAAAAATTTGGGTTTTTTTTCCATTAAAAAACGGGTTTTTTATCCCTAAAAAGTGGGATTTTTCAGCTGGAGGAGCCTTTTTGGGGGAATTTTGGCGCCGGGAGGGGAAAACCGAAGGGAAAATTCCATCAAAAGCCGGGAATTCGGAGCCGGAGGCGTCGCCGCTTCTCCCTAAAAAAAACCGGGAAAAAGGAAAAAAAAACAAAAACCAAAATCCCCACTCCAGGATCCGTTTTCCCTCCTCTTCCCGCCACATTCCGGGGCCGGATTTGGGTCAGAATTCCGCAATTTTGGGGTTTTATTTTTAAATTTTGGGGTTTTTTTCGGTTTTTCCTCCCCCCCTTTGCGGATTTTAGGATTTTTCCCGATTTTTTTTATTTTTATTTTGTTGTTTTTTTTTTTTCCTGTTTTTTTTTTTTTTTTGGGATGAGCCTTTGGAAAAAACACGGATGGAAAAAACGGGAGGAATTTCGGAGCCGCCGTAAATTATTGTTTAAATAATAAATAAAAACCTTAAAAAAAGGAAAAAAAAAATCCCCAAAATCCCGGAATTCCCACCCGACCTCCTGGAAAATCCACCGGAATTCCCACGCGAGAATCCGGGATTTTGGGGCCTCCGAAAGGGGAAATTTTGGGGGATTTTTGGGCCTGGAAATCCTGGAAAAAATTCCCAAAATTCCTGCTGAGAGAATTTTGCCTTTTCCCGCTTCTTTCGAGGACGTTTTGGTGGGAATTTTCCTTTTCCCGGGTTTTTTTTCCGGGATTTGGTGCATGAGGAAAAGCCCCAGGAATTCCCGGGAAAGGAAAAAAATTTAAAAAAAAATCGAGGAAGGAAAAGAAAAAAAAAAAAAAGGAAAAAAAAGAAAAAGGAAAAAAAAAAGGAAAAAAAAAAAGAGAAATAAAACGGAGGCGGCTGCGGAGATTTTTCCTTGGAAAAGGGGAAAATTCCCGGGAAATCGGGGAGGGGATGGGGAAACTGGGAATTGGGAAACGGGAACTGGGATTTAACTGGGAATTGGAATTGGGCACTGGAAACCAGGATTGAACTGGGAATTGGGATTGGACTGGGAAAACTGGGAATTGGGAATTGGGAATTGGGATTGGACTGGGAGCTGGGATTGGGAACTGGGAATTGGGATTGGACTGGGAAAACTGGGAATTGGGAACTGGGAATTGGGATTGGACTGGGAAAACTGGGAATTGGGAACTGGGATTGAACTGGGAATTGGGAAAATGGGATTGGATTGGGAATTGGGAACTGGATCGAACTGGGAATTGGGATTGGGAACTGGGATTGAACTGGGATTGATCTGGGACTGAACTGGGAAAATGGGACTGGACTGGGAATTGGGATTGGGAACTGGGAATTGGGAACTGGGAATTGGGAACTGGGAAGTGGGATTGAACTGGGATTGAACTGGGAATTGGGAACTGGGATTGAACTGGGAATTGGGAAAATGGGATTGGATTGGGAATTGGGAACTGGATCGAACTGGGAATTGGGATTGGGAACTGGGATTGAACTGGGATTGATCTGGGACTGAACTGGGAAAATGGGACTGGACTGGGAATTGGGATTGGGAACTGGGAATTGGGAACTGGGAACTGGGATTGAACTGGGATTGAACTGGGATTGAACTGGGAATTGGGAACTGGGAATTGGGAACTGGGATTGAACTGGGAATTGGGATTTTACTGGGACCCAACTGGGAATTCCGCCCCCATTCCCAAACCCAGGCCACGCCCCTTTGGCCTCATTAAAATGCACCGACCACGCCCCCTCCCTCTCCGTGAGCTCCCATTGGTGGAGCCACCTGCCAATCACCATAGCCCCGCCCCCTGCACTGATTGGTCACCGCACCGGAAGTGCCGCCATTTTCCCCTCAAAAATGACCAAAACTCGAATTTTTCACCTTAAAACGCCTTTTGGGGGTGGGGGAGGGGCCGAGAGGGGCGTGTCCCATCCACGCCTTGGCCACGCCCCTTTAGCCCCCCTCAGGAGCGCTCTGATTGGCTGAACGCTCAAACCACGCCCACCCACCCAAAGCCACGCCCACCACGGGGCGGTCCCGGGGTGGGGGAGGGGGCGAATTTTGGGAATCCCGGGAGGAATTTTGGGAATTTTGGGATTCCCCAACTCCCAACCTCCCCCGGGAGGGGGCGGAGCCTCCAGAGCAGGCGGGAAAGCCCCGCCCCCGACGCCATTTTGTCCCCTCCCCCAAAACCAAATCCGCTTTTCCCGAAAATCGACGGAATAACCCCAAAAAAATGCGGGAAAACGCCGGGATTTGGGGGGGTTTGGGGGGGATCCTGGGGGGTCCCGTCAGAGTTCGTCGTCCAGGCCGTCGTCCTCCTCGGGGAAGTCGCCGGGGACGACGTTCTGGGGTTTGACGAAGGCGCCGTATTTCGGGGGGCACTCGAAGTAACGGCGGCCGCCCACGCTGGGGAGGGAGAGAGGGTTCGGGGAGAGAAAACGGGAATTTGGGGAGAAAATGGGAATTCGGGGAGAGAAAATGGGAATTTGGGGAGAGAAAATGGGAATTTGGGGAGAGAAAATGGGAATTTGGGGAGAGAAAATGGGAATTTGGGGAGAGAAAATGGGAATTTGGGGAGAGAAAATGGGAATTTGGAGAGAAAAAACGGGAATTTGGGGAGAGAAAACGGGAATTTGGGGATTTTGAAGGGAATTTCCTCCCTGAATTAGCCCAAAAAATGTCTCACAATTCCCTCAAAGGCAGTTCAGGACCTCCCAAATCCCCCCCGAACTCTCAGGACCCCCCAAATCCCCCCAAGACCCCCTGAAGCCCCCCAGGACCCCCCAAAATCCCTCCAGGACCCCCCAAT